AGAGAGAGGGAGAGAGAGAGAGGGCGAGTTAGAGAGAGAGAGAGAGTGGGATGCACAGAGAGGGAGGGAGGGAGAGATGGGTACGAATACGGAGAAGGGGATGGAGACAGAGGCCGAGAGATGGAGAGAGAGCGAGAGACAGACAGAGCGGGATAAACTATTTTTTATGTTTAGCCGTGCAAGGTAAAGATTGCAAAACTGCAGCACACCTGTCTCTGTACGCGTATGTATGCGTTTGCGTGCGTCTTTGGCCCTCCCTTCGTGATGTTCATTGGTGTCACGCTTGCTTCAGTGGCCTCAACACCAGAGCAGTGCCCAAACGGACCCCAGGCAGTTCACCTTGAACGACCACATGAGCTCTGCGGCGGGGGCCTCGATTCTGCAAGGCAGGGTCGGAGATGGCTTGGCATGTCGGTTGGCTTCTCTGAGGATCAGGGCGACTGTGAGGGTTATTCTTTTCCATTATAAGGGCTGCTAGAAGAAGGGTGCTCGAGTTACCTGCCATCGCGACTTCACTTGGACTTTGCCTCTCAGGTCATTGAGGCATTCTGTCGGCTGCACGAGTGCGGCACTCGGCCTTACAGTTCGCTCCTTGGGACGTTTCACCCCTTTTTCCGGAGCACAGACTTTGGGGCTCCCTATGTAATTATTTATTTGTGCTGGTACGTGCAGTGTAGTAGAATCTACTCCAACACCCTATTCCAAGAATAATTGTTATTATACTATATTATCTATATATATATACATATATATACATATATATATATATAGTAATTACTTAAAGGGTTGAACTGTGCCGGCTGAGGAAGGGAGCCATCTTCCGGGGTCAGAGGATGGTCAACTGGAGCCCGGTGTTGCAGACGGCCGTGAGCGATCTCGAGGCGCCCTTCCGCAATCCGGACGTTTCCCGTGGGCAATGAAGCAACGCCATGGTTGCGACTTTGGCTCTTTCTGGCTCTAAAACTCTCGACTGCCATGTTTCTTCTTCTACAGCGTTGTGACATGGATTACTTAACGGGTGTGTAGCGTTCAGACGAACGCCTGCGACAGCTCCGAGCACAAGGTGTGAGTAGCTTTCCAGGCATAAGTTGCGTCCCAGCTGCTCCTCCTGGAAATCGAACCATGATCTCCCGTGCTCCCCATTCTCAGGCAACCCAAAACCCCCAAGGTTAGAAAACAAACCTAGGGACCTCCTGCGCTCCAGCTTGCAGGTGGAATACTCCGACGTGCAGGGCCACCTTTACCACTTCAAGCCCTTCGACTACTCCTGGGTTTCATGCTGTGGGGTAGTCGAAGAGAAGTATCATCAGAATGTCTCTTGCGAGGTATATGGTTGCAGATACAGAGGACCTGGGATGCCCAAATGATGCTTGCTCCGCCCAATAAACACGGCGATAAGCGTGGGAGACTGACCCGGATTCTGGCTCACAGGTCACTGGCTAGTGTGGCCTCGCGTCGAACACTTTGCTAGACACGTTCAGGCGCGACGATGCGTGATACTGACAGAGGAGGCCGACGACACGGTTACTGTATCTGTCATGGCTACAACAAACAGCTGTAGTCCTCTCCTAGCGAAGTCTCCATCACAGCTCATCGGGTAGCGTCAACAGCATCTGATGATAAAGACAAGTTCCACGGCTAGTGATCAAATTTCTGCCCTTGGGGGTGTAGTTTCCTTGCGAACTCAGACAGATTGTCCGTTTTCGGGCGGGCTTGCGCACCGCTGAGAATGCTCCTGATTCCAAATTGGCCTGTCTTAGGGGGACTAGGCTTAGCTCATCTTAGCTCCATTGCTCCTGGGCCCCTGCAACATGATGCAATCTTTACGAGCCCAGGGGTGTCCAGGCAGCATTTGCGGCTCCGACCTTCTCCGGACTTGACAAAGACTCCTCGTTTACTTAACTTAATTCTGCAATACAGCTAGGAGTTCATCCCGGTCGCCACGACGCGGCCGGAGACGATCTTGGGTGACACGGCGGTGTGCGTGCATCCGGAGGACCAGCTTATGCATCTGTGGATCAAAGCATGTTGAAGCCTCAGTCCTAGTCTGGAGGGGCAGTTCGACGATCGCACCTAGTTTCTGCAACACCCTGCAGAAAGATCACCAGAAGCGCACCTGACCGGGGAAAATTGGGGACCCTTCAGTGAAAGGATCCACGCTACGAGCATCTCATCGGCAAAGACGTCATCGTGCCAGTCCAGGGCGCCGTGGCCATCTGAAGACGGCTTACAGAATTTTAAATTAAGGGTCTTGGCTTTGGGATTGGAGCGGTCTGCTGAGGGTATCTCCATCGGACGCCCTGCTACAGTCTAGCCTCGCAAGATCCATACTGGGCGCTAGTATTCAGGGCAGACACGTTTAAGTAGGTGAATTGTACCAGTTACTATATCCGCACTGAAGGTGCACTTACAGGTAGGGCACAAATGACACATAACCTGCATTCACTTGCTAAGCCCCAGGAGCCTTGTTCAGGGGCTGTCTCTGGGATTCTTCACGCTGTTGATAGCCGGAAACTGCTCAACACCCTGGGTTCGACTGCATGAAAGAGTGACTATATGGGGATGCAGATTCAGGTAGAGCCGGTAGAGCGATTGAAGTTTGTAGAGCCGGACTAGACCAAGAACCTGGGTCTCAAGCCCCTCTCTGTGGCTTCTCCGCAGCATCCCATGACCGGCTTTCTCTTTCCATGACGCGCTTCTTTAGTGTAGGATCATGCAAAATGCTGTCGATGAGATTTGTGCGCTCGGAGTTGCTGTTGCCTGCGAGTTGAGATAGCATCTTTTCAACTTACGACCACAAGCACAGTCCGGTTACGCCTACATCGCATGCTGACCTTTGCACTGTTCTACGTCAGTTCCCATGTCCGGCCGCCGCATCAGGTGAGAATTTGAGGGCAATCGAAGGTAGCAGTAAGCGCATTGCCCATGGTGCTGGTGGGCGGGGTTTTCCTGCCTCCACACATCGCTTGACCAGCAGAGCCTGATAAAGCCAGCCCAAATAAAAGCCCTAAACCTCGACAACCCTCTGTTCACCAGTTTCATTCTTGCGTCTGCACCGTTTTGGCTATGCGCAGATATGAGCGTTGGCGATGTGCGACTTTACGGCTTGGATGCATGTGTATGTGGTCACATAAGTACGCCCAGACATGCATTCCTCTATCAATTGCTCAACAAGTACAGTGAACCTCCAAGTATGCAAGGGGCGCTGGTCAGGCATGGATAGTGAAGACTGTCGTGTCGTAGTTAGCAAAAATTACAGGATGTGCATCCTGCAGTACACGACTTACAGAGCTCTGTTTATCCATGCATGGTGTTGGTCATGATTTCCGGTATCACTGACATTTACTCGATGCCATGTTGCAAATTAGTTCCTGTCGCATAGAACCATCAACAGCTGCCACGGCTGCCACCAACGATGAAGCCCTGCTTCTGCGACAGCATCCGCCATTCAGTTTTCGACGAACTTGCTTTGTCGATCGTCAACACCTCCGAGTGTTCAGCGCCCAACACGGCAGAGCGCCATGACTCATGACTTCATGTCATGCGGACAGCGTGAAACAATTGCGGGATTCACGCGAGTTTGGTAGAGTCTTGTCCTTGCCCATGTTCGTAGTGAGCACATTGTTTTGGACAGGAGATTTTCCAGTTTTTGCATGTTAGTATGCATCTAGTTTGCGGCTTTTCGGTTCTCAGTCTGAGTCCGCAAGTCCATTCACGTGACGAGGCCGGCGAATTCCTGTGATTGCCGATGCTTACGTGGACAGAGAGTGGAAGCCCCGGATTTGATTATTTTAGTTAGGCTTCGCAGAATTCCGGAGCCGTAAAGAGCATGCAAGGTTGTGTACATAAGCCCTTGCTAAGTGTAAAGGCTGCAATCCTCCATGTCTCCGAGGTTTGGAACCGGGGCGCTGAAGATTACGCCTGCCCACGATTTCAACGACTTCGAGATTGGCCAGACGCACAAACTGGAGAGCCACTCTGTTCGGGCCCCACAGTCACAGGGCCTGCGTGATGCAGGAATAAGACCATAATCTTGGCAATCGTCAGAACATGATGTAGTAAGACTGTAAGTATTGATCGGCGCATTCTCCGATTCCAGGTGATTGGTCTTGACGGATCCATGTCCCCTACATTGGAAGCACTAGGCGCCGAGCTGTGGGGAGTTACCGACGGAGATGTTCTTTTCTTTGCAATGCCACTGTGGACAGGCTCACCACAGTACATTGGGCTGGATCGTGCGGACTGCGCTGGCCTTAACACATCTTGAAATGGTTCCTATATGCAGCGCTTATCATAGTGGAGGTACATTGAGCGTTCACTGTCGTTCATTCTCAACGGCCAGCAGTAAAAGTTGGGTTTGGCAAGGCCGGAAGAAGCTGTGGGCGGATCTTGAAGAGGCCGGATTGACCCTGAAGGTGGAGGACACGCTTCGGGATCTTGTGCCTGCGCTTCCATGTCTCGTGGGCTGCATGGGCTCAGACACCAGGACCACATGCAGCGCGTGCCGCTGTCGCAGAGGCTGGAACTGGCACTGCATCGAAAGACCGCGTGTTAGACATGTGCTCATGTAAACTGTACAATCGTCAAAGAATTTCTGCAGGTCCTGAGATGTACAGGGTCAGACATGTGTACGAGAATCATATGATATGAAATATTTTTGCTTAACAAATTGGTTATTGTGCCAAGTTCTACTAGTAGCACAGATGCCCGAGCTGCAGAGTTCAGTCACTGACTTTCCTTGACAGGAGCGGTGAGGTCATTGAGCCGATGCTCTCTGATCAATGGTTCGTGTCCACCGAGGTTCGCATCTGCGAGCAGTGTTCCTCGCATTGTTATCCGGAGGCAAGCATCTACTGTAGCTTGACGGAATAATTAGATTGAAAAGGAATGCTGCAAGTCTTTGTGTGTATATGCATGTGTATAAGTAATTGTTATGATAACTATTATTATTATTTAAAATGTTTATTACTGTTTGTTATTATTTTTTATTATTGTTATGATTACTCTTTATTGTTATTTAGTATGTGTTTCTTTTATTGTTATTTGCTATTATTATTTATTATTTATTGTTTATTAATATATTGTTATTATTAGTATTAGTATTATCAGTAATATTTTTGTTATTATTGTTGTTGTTATATATATATATGTATATATATATAAATATTCTATATATACGCCTATACATAAGTCATGTAATGGTTTATTCATGTACTTGCTTATTTGTTTATGTGTGTATTATGTGTATAGATACAGATGTTAGGCATATTTGTAAACTATATATACACATATACATACACATACATATGCATGCACAAACACACGTAATGTACACATATACATATACATATGCATATGCATGTACATGTACATATACATATACATATACATATACATATACATATACATATATATATATACACACACATAGTATGTATACATGCACATACACATGCATGTGTGCTTCCCGTGTAAAGCTTCGCATGGTGTTCGATCACCTTCTTCAGGTCATGGCTCAGCGGGCCATGGATGCAGTGGAGCCCTGGCCTCTCACGACTCTCCAACAGCGTGTGCGGTCTGCGGTTTAGGGTTCAGGTGGTTTGGTATTTCTCTGCCTGGTGCTGACAAGGAACCTGATGGGTTTAGTGCCTACTCTGGCTTTTGTCTTGTTATTTTTGTGCGCTGAGGTCTGGTGATATTACCATTCAGCCCGATCGCTTCGTGAAGTCGCCACGGCGTGACTTACCTTTTCGCCTGTGGTGGCCCAGAGTTGTTGTTACGCATGCGTGACTCGAAGGTTTTTTGGTTCTGATTAGATCGAGGCGACAGGTTTCTGCCATGTGACCCGCATGATTCAGGAGCATCACGAATTTTAAGTGGACCCGTTTGCTCCCTGATGAAGGTTGACAGTTGATGGGTATTTGATTCTGGCACTACGCGTTTACCGCTTGTGCCACCAGTTGGCTGTACTGCCTCCGCTATAGCAACCCCTGGTATTCCTGTTGAACGCTCATGTTACTCCCAAAGTAATTCTGCTATAGAAACCTCATACAGTCCCGTCTAGTCGTAACCTTCATAGAGCCCTTTCTAGAACCTTTACAAAGCCCCTGTAGTGAGCCTTCTAGACCCTGTATAATATAGGGGCTCTAATAATAATTAGAATAAGGGCTTGGGGCCCATGATACTATAATTATGATACTCTAATTTTTCTAAGGAGCCCCCAATTATTTAGGCCCTACATTAGCAGCCGTTTTAGAAGCCTTCTCGATCCCTTGGCCAGGACTTGGCAAGGCTGGCTCAAGGAGAAGCAGCCCTGGTGCATCTCGAGGCCGAGGGTCTTTGGGGGTTTTGGGGGATTCTAGGACCGTTCTATATTTTTTTGGGGGTTTTAGGGCTTCAGGGGTTTCGGGCCTATAGGGCTTCAGGGGTTACAGGTTCTAACCCTCTGAGCTACAAAAGGAGGCGCGGAAGTCCCAACCCCGCCAAAGCAACGCGAGCAAATTGCGAACCCTAAATTCCATAAACCCTAAACTCTCAGGCAGCTCTGGTGGGGCCACCGCATCCCCGTGACAGGGCCTTAGTTCCAGAATTTTGATCGGAGACGACAGGTTTTGTCGAGTGGTGCCCCCGATTCTGTGGGGGGTTTGATGTCTAGTTTACTGGTCCTATGTTATAGATGCAAAGAGGGGACTAGGATTAGGGTTTAGGGTTTAGGGCCCCTCATTACGATTATCCACTTTGCCAGCTCCCTGCTTTCCCAGTCCGGGATACCTGGGTCTTCTTGCTGGGCTTGGGGCAACAGGTTCAGGTTTAGCTTCAGAGCGAAGAGGCTGATCCAGTCCTAGGCCTAGGCGGTCCAGGCGGGTGTGAACACTGGCGTTTCGGAGTTGTTGAACACGGAGCTTCTGTCCCTGCACCGCAAGACGTGGACGTGCGCAGCGTTAAGGTACTACCCCACGAACCAGCCCGGCAGTGACAAGTACTTCGTGGCCCGCTCCAAGGAAGAGGCAGTGGTCGATCCCGACATATCAGCTGCCAGACCTCAGGAAACAATGGGCTGAGATGTTTCTGTTGCAAGCTTGCTGGCCGAATCTCAAGCCGTTCGTATCTGTGTGCCAGTGATGGCAGACTACTCATGCCATCACATAAACGCCATGACAGGCAAGGCTCGGCACGGCTACGGTAGCCTCTCAGGAACCCTCGAGCCTTTATCTCCCAAGATCTCTCCCTGAACCATGGCGCGCCGCTGGGCGCTGGTCGGGGCCTTCGCCTGTGGCATCTTCCTGGAAGGAACCTCGGACTCCTTTGACCAGAGTACTTCTTGACCGGAGTACCCGGAGGTTGGTCCAGGGCCGTCATTACTGTAGGGGAGGCATGAAATTTCAGGCAGGAGCGGCTCAGGCGACGTCAGTGAGCACGGTTGCTTGAAGTCTTCGTGAAGCTTTTGGAAAGCTCCCGAAGGAATTGAGAGCCATTGCCTCTTCTGACATCCAAAAACCCTGTAGCGCACCAGTAGCTTGCAAACTTCGAGACACATGGATGTATCGTTTGACTGAATTCAAAAATCTATGCTCCGTCTGCATGTTCTGAAATCACCGCGGTTTGCAGTGTTATCTTCAAGGACCTCTCAACCAGTGCTGATTTGTGCATGACTCCCACGAAGCAACCTTGAATCTGGGAGTGTCAGAGGAACCAGGAGTCCCAATGGTCGGCCTAAACTGTGGGGCGCCCGCATTGAGAAATATGTAGGGTTTGGGGTTTTAGGGTTTAGGGTTTGGGGTGTAAGTAGTAGTCAGCGAGTTTGTTCTGCGAGAACTGAGGTCTCCGAGCGACACTTTTCGCTGGCCCTGTGTCTAGCAAGCCCAGGCGAGGGCTGCAATAGTTGGTGAGTTTGTGCACGAATCAGTCACCCGCCCTGTATAATGTGCATTGAAACCAAGTGAGCTTGATCGGGACGACGATTGTCAGCGGTCTCGTTGGGCATTGTACATTTGCAGTTAGTTCTCACAGCGACTTCGGTCAGTTGCTGCGTGTGAAGCTTTCCTAGAAAGAGTCGGCTTGGTAGACATGTCATGCATGTTGTAAGCACATCGTGCAGCCTAGCTGGCGCATCCAAGCGGCTTTGGATTCTCTTTCATGAAGCTGGACGGGACTCTGGTACGGTTGATGATACATGTCCTGCATTACCCATAATAAGGAATATACCACAATTCCCATAGTTTAGGGTCAATTAAGGTAATGCAGGATTTATATCATCAACAGTATGAACACCTGACTAAGTTTTCTGAGCGCACAGAGCCCTTGCTACGCAGGGCGGCGCTGCGACACAGCAAAGCCGCAGCCGGCAGAGCAGGCTTCGGTGCATCTAGCTTTGGTGAGGTACGTCAGTGGTTGGGTTTGCAGATCCGAGATGCCAAGGGGGCTTTGGCACGAGCAAGCATGGCTATTTGTCCATGAATGTGTTGAGACTGTTGAGATTAATGCATGGTTAAGTTTGATTTCTTTTGCTTTGTTTCACCCCGAAACCGCATTCGGCCTTTTTCAGATGTGAAGCGCGTTGTTTCCGCCCCGTTTCCGTTACTTCATTCAGCACAAACAGGAAGCCGCATCTATGTTTGAGAGCGTGCGGCTTTAATGGACAACGATAGCACATTCATCAGATACGATAACGTCGTGGCCAAAATGCGCACTGTGGAAAACGAAACCACGCTCCCCCAACAACAGTGTGACCAGAGTGGTTCAAACAAGTCATTAATTTACACGCCATATATATTGGACACATTGACTATTCCGCCACAACTGAGTCTTGAGAGATACATCAGACTGTTGAGGCCCCTTCATGACAGCTCCCTGCGCTTCACGCCCAGCCAGGCATCGAAGAGCCGGATGAAGAGCCCTGGGCGCAGCTGCCGGGCTGCAAAATCAGTCCCACCCATCCCATAATGGCGCTTTCTTTGGGGCTTAGGGTTCACAGGCTTTGGGGGTTTAGGGCCCCTGGGGATTTCGGGTTCCGGGGTTTCGAGTCTGCACGACTGGGCAGTCGGAATTTGAAGGGCAGGCGCTGGAGGCGATTAATTTCATGTGATACGCACGGAGCAGACGGGGTTCACCCTAACCGAAGGACCGCTAGAACTCGACGGATCTTTGAGTCTCGTTAGCTTCAGGTTTCGCGGCTTTGCCGCAGCATCTGCGGCAGCTGTCCTAGTGGCTGCGCAGCTCGGCATGCAGAATCTTGTGTATAGACTCTAGTATAGACTTTGGCATCTCAGCTCCAGAACGCTCGTCGATGGATTTCCCAGTTACATGGAAGAGGTGCCTGAGCCACCAACTAGAACTAGGACCACTGTGAAAGGCAAGCAGGGTTTCGCATGAGACAGCAGATCCGACATCCGACAAAGAGCTGAGCTTGAACAAAGCAGAAGAAGTTTCAGGTGCAGCACACATTGCTGCGAAAGGAACCGATAAAGATGCTTATAGCGAGCTCCCTGTAAGTCGCTGGTTCCCATTTTCGGAGGATGGACGCCACCTTGTTTAGGGGTAGGGGTTTAGGCGGTTTAGGGTTTAGGGTTTATTAGTTTCGAGTGCCTTGCCGTGGGCGTTCAGAGCCAAAAGCCTAAGGAGCCTCCTTCGCCCGCCGGCTCACGCCATGCCGCTGGAGGTTCGGAGTGCTGCGAGTCTCAGGGTGGGGATAATGCGCTTCGGCACCGGTTGCAGCGGGTTAAGGCCAAAATCGCGGTTTCCAAATTCTTTTCCGACATGCCCAGATACTTGGACAGGTTCTCAAGCGAATGGAGGAGCAGAAGGTGGGAGCAGCTGTTCAGCTGTCTTGGCACTTGTGAGAATTATTGTGATCGAAACACAAAGCAGATCGGAACTCTGATATACGTGCCGTTAGCAGCTCTACTTCTTGCAACTGCACAAGTGCCGATCTTTGCACAGTTGCCGGCGTTGTATTTCGGAAACCAATGCAGCCTGTCAACACTTTCAACAGTTGTCCTGCTTCCCTGTCTTCTAATGATTATACCCCGTTTCACAACCGAACCATGCTTCTTTGTTGTTATGCTCGCTGAGCCAAGCGCATGTGTGCCGGATACCAGCTTGACAGAGATGACAACGCGCCATTCCAGGTGTTGAGGTCGACTTTTTCGGGCCGGGTCAATACCTTACAAGCGTCATGCCAAGGGTACTTTCCCCTAAACCCCCGGAGCCCCTAAGCGCTACAACCCCAAAGTCCTCACCCCTTAGTACATTTACGTATAGTGCAGTGTTACAGCAAGTAAAGCATCATATGCGTAATTCGCTATACTAAAACAAGATCTTGATCGATGAAGGCAAGTTCCTCCCGTCCAGGTCGAGGCAGCGAGCTCAAGGACCCTTGCCCGAGTTCAAGAGGTGTTGGCGGGCTGCAGCTTGTACAGTGTGAGGCTGCCCCGGCTTTCAGATGCATGCTTGCTTGTGGCTTGCGTCAAACTGCTCACACGGCCACACGGCCCAAAAACCTTGAGCTGTCAGCCGACTCCTTAGTGCCAAGTCTGGTAGGAACGGTTTGGGCAGATTCTTTGCCATGGCAATCAGCAAAAACAGGAAGAAAAGAAACCGAAGGCGGCAGCGGCTTCAAGCCGAAGCTGAAGTGTGCAATTCAGAGACGGCAGAAGCTGCAGCATGCGGCAGCTCAGAGACGCCGAAAGATGGAGTTCAGGAGCAAACCTTTCATGGGGATCAGGCGCCTAAGACGGATGTTGTGACAGAGCTTCAAGAGGCGCTTCGTCAAGCAAGGTGATTTGCTCCTGTTGAAGAAGTCCAACAAAGGCCTCTTGATTCAGCTCAGGCGGGTGCGCAGCTCCAACACAGCCCTGCAAAAGAAGTTGGACGACAAAACCCGGATGCTTGAACAAGAGCAGGAGTTCAATGCAGCTCTTGTGGATGGCCTTCGTCAAGTAGGTACACGGACATGCTCCGAAGCTTCGGGCAGGTATGAGACAGTTGCTTGTTGGGAGTACCTGGAGCGAGAGCCGGACTCATGGAGACGATATCTCCCGGATGCGGAACAGTCCTTAGAAGAAGCACACTGGGGCAAATTGCCGGAGCTGACGATCATTGGATCGGGTTTCAGGTATCTCATCAACTTTTCTGCCAGGACTCAAACAAATGTGGAGACAAGAAAGAAACGCACTATATGCAGACGAGAAATTCCTTTGCACGCTGATGCCACACTCAAGATGACTACGGAAACTGAGCACTTGCGTGGAGAGAACCAACACTTGAATTCGGTCCTTCGCAAGAAGACTGAAGAGATCCAAGAACTGGATAAAGAGGTTCACAGCAAGGCAAGACATATCGATGACTTGCACTGGTCCGTCCAGTGCTTACATGAGTCTGCCAGAAAGACTGATCAGCAGTATGCGAAGTTGCACTCTGAACATGCCGCATTGAAGAATTATATTCATGAGTCCGATAAGCTTCAGTCAGAACTGGAGCAGGACAGGCGAAGATATTGCAAGATACTTCTTTCCCAGCTTCCCCCGAAACCATTGGACGAGTCGGCGAGACATGTTTGCAGAAGCTTGAGTGTAGAAGATCCGAAGTATGCTTTTCTATCACGGCAACTTCAATCCTCCATCGTCGGCCATCGCTTGAGACTTGGCTCTGACCTTTGGTGCGATCCAGCAAGGGTCTCTGTGACACGCATCGAGGAGTTGGTTCACCCCGAATCAGCTGCTTTATGAAGCGGCGCGTCGTATCAGAGCGAGTGAAGATCCCAGCTGTGGCTGCACTCCAATTGCAGGCATCTCTGCCTTCAAGTGCGAGGTCCTTCCGGGCTGGGTTGACATGAACGAATACCTGCTTTATCACGGCAGCAGCTTGCGCAATACAGAGCAAATCGTCGCCCGGGGATTTGATGCCCAACGTGGTGGAGAGTCAGCCGGGCCGATGTTTGGAAGGGGTGTCTATTTCGCAGAGAATGCCTCGAAATCAGATCTCTACACAACTTGTGATCTATGCAGGGACATCGGCAACCATGACTTCCGTAAATGTTGCCATGCCCAAGGTGAGAGATGCGTCTTGGTCACAAGGGTGCTTCTGGGAGAGAGCAAGATTGTCAAGAAACTGGTTGATGCTGGAGGAAAGGATCAGATTCGGGCTCCGCAGCGTGATGATGGAACATCCTACGATTCCATGACCGCAGTATCAAAATCGGAGGGGGGACTGGTAGACCATCGAGAGTTCGTGGTGTTCAAGGACCCGAAAATGCTTGCGCGTTTCCGGATCTTTTACCGGCACGACTGCGGTTGCTCATGCAACGGTTGCCAGCAACGCAGATCAAGCACCTGAATTAGTCATACTGCCTCGCTGGCAACGTCAAACTGGCCAAAAGGCCACCATGGCTTTGCCATATTTAAAGTGCTATAAAAACGAGCGACCGGGTCTGCCTGTATTGACACATGTGTCAGCATTGGAATCGGATAATATAGCTTGAAGCGACAACGTTTATACAAAACGCAAGATACTTGAATATAAGCCCTAGTGCAACAAATTAACTAAAATTAACACGAGCACTATGTTGTAATAATGGAATGTACCATGGTGTAATATCATGTAATATAACGTAATGCATCATGAGAATCAGAATCGTACATTCAGGGTCAGTAGTGGTGATTCACATTTTCTGAACCTCTCTAAACCGGCAGTGGGTAGGCATGCTCAGTGATGTCGATCTCTGCGGCTTCTGAAGGCTCCGTGGTGAAGCATGCCGAGCTTGTGTCTCATAGCTTAAACCTGGAGTCATACAGTCATACTGCCACCTGATTCCCAAACCGTATGAAGCCACTATGGGCTTCATCTTGCAAGCCTTGTTCGGGAGGAGTCTACCGCAGGTTCGGCAGGAGTCTTCCCAGCGTGCGATGACGGTTGCCAGGCCATGCGGAGAATACGTTATCCTGTGTTATGTTAGTATATATATATGTATATATATATGTATAGATTTACAGATTGATTGATTGATTGATTGTATGACAGTACAGCTTCGAAAAGCCATGTCATAAGATCTCGAAGAGTCGTAGGGGCTTAGCGGTTTTGCCCAGACATGGATGGATAGTGGATGTGCACCGAAGTGGCAGAAACGGGCTCCAAGCGATTGGCCTTGAGGCTCCATGTTCGTTTTATCCGAGCAAATAAAATATATTATATGATGCAACATGTGTTTCATATCAAATATTGATCGTGCTATACTATTTACTATGTATTACAGTAGTGTCTGCGCCCTGGCAAATTTTCGAACAGGAAGTTGGAAGAGAAGCGAGCCGTTCTATTCGGCCCTCCGGCTGAAAGTATTGAGTTCAAGCGTCAGAAGTGCGTAGGTTGTTCAGGAGACATGAAACGTAAGGAATTGTAGAAAGTTTCTGGGTACATCCAAGTAGCGGTGCTTCTAAACCCAACGAAGAGGGTTCTGTTTCAATCTCAATCCTCCTCGAATGCCGGCATCAGTGCCCAAAGCTTGGACAGATGACAGCCCATGCTGTTGTCCAGGGATGTTGGGCAAATGAAATACGCAATACAGGATCGGTCGGTTGGTGCTCTCACGCCTGTTATTGCCAGACCTGCACTGAATGAGCTGGCTTGGTGCCACGGAAAATCTTCTCCTTTGGAGCAGTAGCTGGCGGCCTTTACTGATGCAGTTCTCAGAACCCGCTACGTGATCAGAGACTGAGGTGCATACTGGTGTCCCTACTGCGACCAGGAGTGGGCTCAAATCGGAGAGTCAAGCCTGAATCTGAACCCTTGAACAGTAGACCGCTCGAGTGTTCCAAGTTGCTCCTCATCCTCGAGTTCACTTGACAGGAGAGGCAGGCTTTGGGCCGCGAGGTTTTCGATGGCCGCAAGGTCACCTTGGACCAAATCACGGTAGGTCGGATTCACGATCTGGCATATGGGGTTCCTTGCACGGCCTCTAAACTAAAGGCAAAGACTGTGGAGTTCAGGCAGCTTCGAGCTGACGTAGTTTCGGTTTACCGGCAGACTAAGACGGTTGTCTGTGCATTGCTCGAAAGCTCTTTGGCGATGTCAAGTTCTGACTCAGTACTTTCGAAGCTAGTTTGTTTGACCCTCAGGCAAACCTAAGCCGCCTGAGCCCCTGAACAGGAATACGTGCGCTACGTGGAATGCGACCCGCGTGGTGAGAATGCCCAGCCAGGGCTCTGCCAAGCAGCGGGTGTGCTTCTGAGATGCATTTGGTCAGGGTGAGCCTTTGATCGGCTCTGAGCGGGTGCTACTACTCCTGCTTGAAGTTGATGATCTGAACCTACGCAGACGGTCGCGAGTAGTAATGTTGAACAAAAGCTCCGATGCCGGTAACGATGATGGTGCTGATGATGATGATGATAATGATGATGATGATGATGTTCATCATCATCGTCATCGTCATCGTCATCATGATGTACTGTCTGCGTGCGAGTGTTTGCGGGCACGGGTCTGGGCCCTGCAGGTAGGGTTAAAGGCGAAAACCCAAAGATCTCTCAGACTCCCGAGGACGAGTTTTCCGACCTGGGCCGTGGCCGTCGAGCCGAACACGCCGGAGGGGCTGCCCTTCGAGCTCTACCCAGGCAGGCTCGTGTTCGTGTGTGTGTGTGTAGACTTAGAAAATAGATAGTTAGTTAGATAAGTAGGTAGATAGATAGATTGGCAAATATGTATACGTATGTCGGAAATAGCACACTCTCAACCCTTCTCCGAAACGCTTTTTGAATGAATGAGATGGGTCCCTTGCAGGCTTCAAGGGCCTGAACGGTCTCGAGCGGATGGTTGGGCTGGCGTGCGAGCCTCAAGCCTCGCTCCCTTGGGCTCTGGACTTCTCGAAGGCTTAGGGTTTCGGGTTTAGGGCCGAGGGTTTGGGGTCTAGGTTTAGGGGGGGCGGCTTCCTGCATGTTTGTGTCCTAGAGGGATCGGCCCCCGAGATTCAGAGGTTTAGAGCGGTTGACAACTGCTTAGTCTCGGCCGCCTGAGCCATCAGACTTCTGCGTGCTGCCAGCCGGCACGACATGAGAAGTTTTCCCCCCACTGCCATGTAACATGGCTGGGTCCCGGACAAGACAGATCATGAGAATGCTTGACTGATGTTCGACCAGCGGATGTTCAGGAGGCTGCTTGCTATCAACGTCCAAAATCAAGCTTATCACACACCCTGTGCGCGCGCCCTGGGTAGCGCTTATTTTGCCGTAGCCAAATTCCAGCCCCTATCTCGCCTTGAGCGCATGTGAGCCACCGACGATGGAACCCTTTGACCTTCAGTCTTTCGGAACTTCAGCTGCGATCAAAAGTCACGGATTCATCGCCGTGTCTTTCGCAAGCAGGTTCCGAAGCAGCCAGCACGGTCAGCTAGCTCGGCCGACATGATCATCTTTGTGGCATCTCAAGCGTGGGAACGTTATATTAAAGACGACCCTATGAATGGCCAGATGAATAATGTGGAACATGTACCAGGGCTTGCCATCGTGATAGGATCGGAGCCTTTTGCTCTGTCGACTGCTCGCGGGCTTTGGACCGCAAGCAAGGCGGACGTCGACTTGAATGCACCGGCTGATGTTGCGGCGTTGTTGCACAAGCATGGAAAAACTCCGGCGGAGGCGGCCAGGTTTTGAAGGTGAGGGTTCGGCGGCAGAGGAGGGACGTGTCCGACAGCCGGTGTGAGGCTCACGCTGCTGCCGGAAGTCGGCATGTACAGTTAGATTCAGATCGAGAACTATCAGAACGGCTTTGCCAGTGGAAAGAAACTCGCATAGCAAACAGAGCAGCGAATGTCTTTTAGACAGACTATTGGAGTAATGATGCGACTCGCACAGTCCCACGCAAGTTGTTCTCTCTTTACAGTGGTGAACTTCTGGGCGATAGAGACCTCGTTTGAACCTTCGTGCACCAGCCTGCTGTCATGAGCTGCGGTAGAGATGCCGTAGTGGTGCTGCTGTGGATGTGGAGGGTTAAATAGCTTTGGACATGGGGTGTCACATTGTGGTGCGGTCACCTCGTGACTACACATCCGGGCGTTAGCTTTCGGGCCCGGATGTGAGCAGTAATTACGGGTTTGTGGCCGTTCGACTTATGGTGTCGGTTTCAATGATGGGTTTGTTGTCGGGGTCGTACCGAAGTAAGGTTCGGCCTGGCCTTTCCGAGAGGGAACGGGGGGGTCTTGCCGAGGCCCCCTGCTGAGGAAGTAGCTGAAGCTGTGGCCCCACCGGTGCGGACCAATTCCGACGCCGAGGTGCCGGCATCATGCATAGAGTAGCTTAGGCAGGCTCCTAACGTTTGCAAGTCGTACATTTTCAGTAGGGCGTGTATCCGTTGGGTGTTCTGTCTTGCGACTTGCTTTGCAGTCTCGCACGACAAGCCCGGTTCGGCGTAATCACATGCTCGCGCCCAAAGCCCAAGCACTCCGGACAACGAGACCGTACGAATCCTGGATGCCTGGAACAGGGATCCATCGATTACTCTGAAGAAGCCGAGACTTCGACTTTGCTCTTGGCGCTCAGGCGATAACGGTGGCCAGGCGACTACAGGAAGGTGGGGCCCCTTTACGCGTAACTTGGCCTGGCTGCGAGTGCCGTTCGCTTGCTCCAGAGTTGGCAAAATTTGGGGTCCGTAGCCCAGTCAGGGGCAGCAGGTTCCACCGTAATTCGCGGCTCGGTTCAGCGTGCCTTGAAGCTCTTGGGATTCTGAACTTGGTTCCCTCAGTGCT